GGAGACCACCAAGTTATTGTATCACTGCCAAGCAGGCTCTTTCCCTAGAACATTACATTCACATATTTTAAAACAAACAAACAAAAAAAACTTGTTCAGCAATAATTTATGATTCTGAACAGTGACAAAAAACAAAAAACAAACAAACAAAAAAAACCTTTGTCTTCTCACTCATTTCAGAGAATGAATCACAAATCTGTAGAAGAGAAAATATACCTGCTTTTACCTGAACCACATGTTTACAGTCAACAATATTTTTTAAATTTGAAAAAAAAAAAGTCATATATTTTGTAATTTGTTTCAAAATTTGCATTTGTGTCAAAAATGGTGCTGCCCAAAGCAAATAATCCACCCAGAACCTGCAGCATTTCATAAGAGTTTTGAAAAGAACACAAAGCTGTTCTTCCTCCCTAGCCAGCAGTGCTGATCTTAGTGATTATTTTAGTTAGGGATCCTTTCTTCTTTTTTTCTCTTGAAACTTTGTTTTCATTTTGTTTTCAGTATACATAACTCCTAAACTCAGAAATTGCTCTACACTAAAAGCAAGCTAGAGTCCTGAGTCACGGTAGGATAGAGCTTTGGAGAGATGGGAGTGCACGTATAGAGAAAAAGTAGTACCTAGGTGCAGGAGAAAATTCAAGGATATCCACAGGCATGCCAAAACGTAACAGACAATACACTGTACAGTACTTGTACGTGTGAGGCAGTGTCTAAGTTAAAATATTTATTGAGAGACAAAACAGGATTTGTTGATTATAGTTGCAAGTTCTCTCTCATAATACTTTTGTGCTCACGCCATTCAGCAGCTTATTGGAAAACCTTTACAGGTTACAAAGGAACATAGCGAATACCTAGACTACATTTATATAAACTAATCAGACACACACAGCTTTTTCACCATGACAGAGTGTAATATTATTGACTATTACATCTGACACTGCTCTGAAGAGGCCTATTACCTTTATGTTAAGTATATTTATATGTATACAAAATAAATTATTTAACTGAAGTCCAGAATTAGCAACTGGCAGAATGCCTCACGCTCATTATTTGAATCATCTACCAGAAACAATAAAAGAATTTCAGTTACAGTTGAACTCTTCACCTACAGCTGAAGAACAGGTCTAGTTCAAGGAAGGTAGCCAGTTCCCTGAGCTATAAATTAACTTTGGTTTAATTAGAAATATGAGTTAGGAGCAGAAATGTATTAGCAGTAGATCCTGCAATATGTACCTGATCTGCCAGATTCCCTAACTCAGCTGGCTGACAGAACGCCTGACGATAAAGCTAAAATAGGAAATGCAACATTTACTTCAAAGGGGTCTTTGTCGAAGTTAGTCCCAGCCTTCAGCCCATCCACTTGGTGTTGAGGGTTGCAGAGAAATCCACCCACACCACCAACCTTCTGTGGATCCTGACGTCGAAAGGAAAAGCAAATAATGCTGCAATTACTCAGAAATACCTAGGAATTGCAAACAAGTGTGCTACACTTCAATAATATTTTCTTGGAACATCTGAAAACTTCTTTTTAAGGTTTGCACTATTATTATTATTATTATTATTTTTAAGATTTTCCACTATTTCTTACACTAAAAAAAAAAGCTAAAGAAAGTTGTAGAATAGGAAAAACACACTTTGCAGGTGTTTTTTTGTAAATACATTTGTAACTTGTCACTCCACCTAAGTCTTGTGAGCACATCTGCAGTTTTAAAATCAGTAGCACACAGAACACTGATGACGTTCAGGTAATCCCTAAGCATTTGGGCAAGCAATTTACAATGATCCCTGTATGAAGGAAAGAAAGGAAATTGGAATTCTGTTTAGGAAAATCTCATGCTCAGCCTTACTGAGAAAGCTCCATAGATTTCTGACACTGTTTAGTTTTGTTATGGGTTTAGTGCCTTGCTGTGGGTTTGGCACCTCTAGAGCTAAGTAAATTGTTTCAAGCAATGTACATATTGTGAGATTAAACACAGGAATGCCATCCCCATCTCAGAAACTCCCTGAATTGAAAACTAGGAGAGCATGCCCCAGAAGAACCACAATACTTGCATTATGCTCCTGTAAACACCTGGTAACGTCACAGACATGAGACTGGGACAGCTAGACTTGTGTCCTCACACACACCCCCATGGGAATTCATTGCTCTTTTTACTGAAAGGTCACTGGATTTTAAGTGCTACAAAAATCCTAGTGCAGAAGTCCTACCTTCAGAGGGCGTCTCTCTCAATAACAGAGTCTCTAATACATGCCTGTGACATTCTTTCTAGTCATGGAAAGCATTTACTGTTTATCTCCTGGGAAAGGGGCTTGTGGTCAGGACATCCTTCTGGACCTGAAGCATATTTGAAAAAAGGGGTACTGATGACACACATTCTCCCTTCCCTCTTGTCCACTAGCTTTTCCAGTGGCTAATACTGTGTGTCAGCTGCACATGGACAAGGATATCAATATTTTAGCTATTCTGTTCTGCAGTGGCATGGCAGAGGGCATCAAGTCATAGCATCAGTCAGTATTTACACATCAGCGCTAGGATCTCTCCATTTTAAGTGCAGAACACTGCAGCCCTTTCTGCTATACTATTTTCAAGCACTTCCTAGATCATGAACCATAACCTTCCTGAAATAAAGGAACATTAGTACTCTTACTGAACACGTTGTTTCAGTCCATGGTCTATTGTTTGCTAAAACATACCTGTGCAAAGGGTGGTGGTGGTTTTCTATTGGTTTTGGACTAACCACCGAAAAAAAAATTCAAACTCACCACCTTGGATGAACTCAGCCTACATTGCCCAAGAATTGCTGTATGATTAGTCATAAAGAGTCCCAAACATTCTCATCTTTTATGTGCTTACATACTGCAAAATGCTTCTTTCAAACCTAAAGGTTTTTTTTTGTTGTTTTTATTTGTTTGTTTGTTTACATACATTCCTCAGGAATCATTTTGGGGAAAAAAGCAGGGCGTGGGGAGTACTGCTTTAAAATCTATTTTAGCAGCTCTTTTCTGAAACAGTCTGCAAAGCTTCATCTCACTTGTGACAAAGACGTTAATGAGCTAGCTCAGTTAACTCATAAGAATTAATTTTTTTACTGAAAAAAAAATCTTACAGTATTTATCTCACTTTTCAGCAAGCTACCTAATAACTAGAGCTGCAGATATTTATTGGAATAAATATTTTTATTTCATAACCTTAAAGATCTTGGCTCTAAAGTAGGACTTACTGACCAGGATGCAGCCCATAGAGAAAGCGATTCATTGCTAATCATGACAACAGCACAATTGTTGGAAATAGATGAGTGAAATGACCTGGAAATACTATTCATTGCTCGCACTAGACATATTACTGTGATCCAAAAACCAGCAGAAATGCCTAAGCACTGAAACTCTCACTCACATACATGAACTGTTTCAACAAGCAGAGTCAGGACACCACATGTTTTTTAGCTAACTAATGACTGAGCAAGCCAGAACTAAGAGGTTCAGGCTTAAGCTAGTGAATTTATTGCTGTTCAAAGTAAAATGCAAACCAATTTCTCCATTCATCCTCTGCCCTCCACCGCCTGTCTTCAGTTAAAAAGAGTTCTTGGATTCATGTGCCTTAGCTCAGATTTATTGGTACTGCTTTGTGTGTTGGTCTCTAACAGTATCACCACTGAACAGAGAGGAAATAAGTACACCGAATATACAGGAAATTTTTAAAGCGGTGAGGATAAAAAAGCTTTATGGGAAGCAAATAGATCACCTGAAATAATGAAAAAGTAGCACAACACTCTCCTACAACTGCATTCCCCCCACTGTCTATCAATTTTATGGTTGATAGTTCCTGTGTAGCAGGAGACAGGGGCACTCAAGCTCCTCCAAAATGTTTGTGTCTCTTTGCAGAACAGCTCTAAGTACAGCACACTGCAGTAACCTCTGTAGCAAGTGAATAGCCCACACCAGTTCCAGCTATCACCTTTCCCTTGCTGATTTCTCTTGCAGCTTTGCTTATACTGCATTTTCTGAGTGCGAATGGAAAATCTGCTCTGCATCATTTCATCAGACATTCAAGTAAAATTTGCTGAACTCACTAAGCCCAAGACACGTGACCCTATTCAACAACTGGACAAACTCCTTGTGTAGCACTAAGCATATTCAGATGTGTTTCTGGGCAGTCACAGAGATACAAAGAAAATGTATTGCATTAACAAAAACTTTGGACAGTCCATGTACTGTCCTCACTCTGTACATCAATACCATGATGTTTATGACGTCACACAGTTTTATCACAGAAGAAGTTCAAAGTAGTATTTAGTTGCCAACAAAGCAAGGGACCAAGTTAACACACTTCTATGACTATTCTATGATTATCAAACTCCCTCTGTAACACTTATGTCTTGTTCAGGAACTCCTTTATCCTTTATTAAGAAATAGTCTCTTCAATAGGTTAGTTATCACAGTTTATACGTTGTGAGAAACTTACAGAATTATTTTTCCTTCTTTTTGATTCTTTATTCCTATGTCTCTGAATGCCTTTATCTTCTATCTAAGAGAGTTTTGTTTGCTGTTTTGTTTATATTTCCTACACTGTATGAAGCAATCCTTTTCTAAAAACAATGAGGCATGAGATAATGTATTTATTATCCCCAGTATCACTGTGTTTTCCTTGTGTTTCCTTGTTCGGGAAAAAAACAGGTTCTTTTTTTTTGCCTCACAGGACCAGCTTCCAGTGTTAGATACCACAGTCAGAAATAGTGCTGGTTTTAAAAGTTGTTTAAAGGATTTATTTTTAAAAACTTTTACCAGCATCTTCCCACTATTTTCCTGTCTCTTCAGCAATCTGCATATGGTGAGTAGTGACTTTCCCCCCTATTTTGTTGTATTATACACAGTGTGATTTAGGATTATACCTTATCATGACAGTTCAGTTTTTGATTAAACCTTAAGCTAACAGGAAACATTCTGCTGATTATATGTTGATTATGACTACCTGCTTAATCTTACTTCAAAGCCATACTCACTGTTATTCCATACAATTCAGCTATTTTTCCTTGGATGAAAGCAAAAATTCTTCACCTCCAGTAAGATTTCCGCAGAGGTCCAAAAACAGTGGGGCATTGAACCTGTAACTGTAAAGTGATAAACATCTGCAGTGCTGAGTTACAAAACAGAAACTGTTAGACATCTTATAAGGGTGTCTGCATTTTGATTTTTACTTAGTTTATGTTGCTTTTTCATGCTCTGACTTATATCCGTGTAGTGACTGAGTCAGAAGTATTGCATGTGCTTTCATGCTAAGCGTCACAAACCTGCAGTAAAGCTTAAAAATTGACATCTAAAATTGATGTCAATTTCTTAAAAATGGACTTCAATCTCTTAAAAATTGACATCTACCAGTTTCCTCAGATTGACTTAATCATTAATTCATCTTCAAAACAACCAAAGATGATGCTACTGTGGATGCAGTATTAGTAGCTACTAAAAATACAGGTGGGACATGTTAGAGAATAAAGGACTGAGCCACGTAATTCATTCAAGAAAAACAAAAAGAAAGCACAAGCTAAGATTTGTAATGACAGGTTTGAATTTCAAAAAGCAAAACCTGCATAAGACCATTCAAATGTCATGTTGAAGTCTACAACATAGTAAAGCATACACATATAATACTTACGTATTTACATAAGCTTTACTAGATTTACTTTTATACCAAAGGACTTCCTTGCTCACTTTTTCACTCACTCACAGAAAAGCAAGATGTGCCAGAATCAAGAGAAAAAGAACACCAAACTTTTGCTCTCCAAAGACACACACTGGGGGGGTTATCATCTGGTTTTTCAAAAGCCTGTCAGTAATTTTAAAACTTTAAGCCTTGAAACTATAGTCCAAGAACGATTCCATGATTTTGTAGATAAAATATCACAACAGCGCAGTGAGTAAAAAAAGAAAAAAGGTCTGAATAGCCAATAAAATAGAAAATTGATTTCTTACTAACATTGTTCAAAGGAAGCACTGATTAAATAAAAAAACAGTCCTTTTAGAAAATGTCCATTTCTAGATGACACAAATAAGCAAATTCCCTTATGCCAACACACAAAGGAAGTGGAATGCAGCACTTCACAATAGAACAACTACTATATTCTAACACAATTACTTAACAGCAAATTAAGCATGGAGTACATTCAGGAACAATTTTGCTCAAGTAACAGTCAGTGGGAATATCACTAATTTTGTTTAATGACACTTCATTACCTAACTAAAGATACTGCAATATCAGAACCAGCCTTAAGGATTTTCAGGTGGGTCTGCAGAACCATTTTTCAGGCTTCAAGCAGGCAAACACTTGTCACATAATTAGTCCATACAACTCTGGAGAGAAACAGCACGCTGATCTTTATGTTTTAGGTGGTGTGTTATGTGTCAGTATGGATAATCACATACTTGTCTTCAACAAGTTAACTATATCATAAGTCATCTTACAGCTGTGAAACATACCGTCACACACCAAGATAACAAGAGCCATCAGCCTCTCTTTGCAAATACATAGTCAGCTGAGGGTGGGAAGAGGAATAAGGGGAAGACAAGAACAAGAAAAATATTCACAACCTTTTCCTTATATAAGTCATGCCTTTATCACTGATCTCTGCCCTCTCCCTAGCTCCCTCCCAGCCATTAGTACAAGAGGATCAATTTACAAACAAAGGGTAATGTATTGGTTTTAGGTGGAAATGTTTTGGAAAGGAGGCAGATGGGGCCTAGATAACATACCCAGGGCTGTCCCATGCCAGGCAGAAAAAGCTGAGCCAGGCAGCGAAACTGGTGGCACCTCTGGGAAAAGGAAAAGGGAAAAAAAAAAATAAGAGGAGAAAAAAAGGAAAAAAGAAGGGGGCAAACACACGCACACACAAACTGCTCAGTAGCGTGTGAGCGAGGAATAGGGGCAGAGAGGAAGAGTGAGAAACAACACTGTGAACACCAAGGCCAGTGAAGGAGGGAGGAGAGTTGCTTCAGGCAGCAGAGCAGGCATTTCCCTGCAGCTCACGGAGGACCACTTGCCAAACCCGTGGGTATCCTCTGGGGGAAGCTGCAGCCTGGGGAGGGAGAGAGGCCCAGCAGGAGCAGGCTTTGCAGCAGAAACTGCTGACTGTGGAGCAGGCTTATCCCGAAGGACTGAAGCCCGTGGAGAAGACCCACGCTACAGCAGTTCACAAAGGACCGCAGCCCCTGGGAAGGGCCCGCACTGGAGCAGGGAACAAGCACGAGGATGAAAAGAGGTAGAGGGGAGCTGATGTGAACTTACCACAACCCTTGTTTTCCCAGCTCCCTGAGCTGTCCCTGGGGAGACAGATTTGGGAATGAAGGATTCAAGCTGATCCTGGGAAAAAGTGGGTGGGATGGGGGGAAGGTGTTTTAGTTTTAGTCTTTTCTCTTCATCCAAATCTATTTTAACTGGCAATAAAGTAAATCAATTTTCCCCAAGTCAAGTCTTTTCTGCCTGTAATTGTGATTTGTAAGTGAGCTCCTGGTCTTTAGCTCAACCCACAACCTTCTCCATCTTATTTTCTCCCTCTGACCATTTGAGGAAGGGGAGTGGGAGTGCAGCTGGCAGCCTACTCAAGGGCACAAAGCTAACTAACTTCCTGGTATCCTTTGGCACACTGTCACTTGCGATGACTAATTCATCCCTCTGAGCTCCAGGAGAACTTCTAACAGTCCATCCCTCTGTAGATATCCATGAGGTATTTCTGCTGACTAAAGGTCATATGCAAGGAAAAGACATTATGCAAAGAGGAACGTAGTGACTTTTTCATCCTCCAGTCAAACACTTGTTCTGTAGCCTGCCCCACCGTTAGTTTTCAGAGAGCTGTAAGTCAACCAGAAGCACTGAAATGAATCGACCACACACACACACACAAAAGTGAATAATTTTGTCCAGGTTGTCAACACTGTATGAATTTATAAACTTTTTTCATAGGAGGTAGCAATTTTCTGGTCCAAAGGAAGTACTGAATCTGCCTCAGTGACAGGCCATTTCGTGGACGATACTGGTTCTGACTACAGATTAATTTCTGTAGGTTATATGAAGAAGAGAGAGGAATCCTTTTGTTTCTTCTAGCTTGGATGTTGTACATAGCTGCTAAATAGACACATTCTGACAAAATCCCTGCCCCTCCTCCCCCCAAAAACCATGAAAAAGAAAGCGCTGTAATTACTCATAACTGCTTTTCTGCAAGTATCTAGCAAGTAGCTTTGAACGTCTCAGCTAGACAGCTCAGAGCCAGAGAAGGTTGGGATCAGTGAGCAGGACACCACTACCACAATGGTGAGGGAAAAAGAAAAAAAGGAAGAAGTAGCCAGCCAGAGAGGCCTGCAAGCCTTCTTCTCAGTCTCACTGGGCATCAACTTAGTAAGCTGCTCTGTAGGACAGAGCACAATGTAAACTGATGTGGAAACCAGCTGGGTGCCCACTTCCTTCAGGCTAGAAAGTGTGGCCCTGCAAAGAAATGGCACTTTGGATGAAGGCCCACCTCCACAGACAGCCTTGACAGATAAAGACAACAATGCCTTGGTAGTTTAGAAGGGGCATTACAGTTTAGAAGTGGAGTCCTTCAAAAACACTGCAAAAACACTGTTACAGAGTGCACAGATTCTAACTTAAAAAAAAAAAAAAAAAAAAAAAAAAAATACCGTTGTGCCTTTTGTGACCACGAAGCTAAAAACAAAACTCAGTCCACACAAGTAATGGAGTATAACATGCAAGACTTTTTTGTAGCATTTACAAGCTGGGACTCAGATTACCCGTTTACTAGGTTAACAGAACTTGGTACTCCCACGTACTTCTTAGAAGTTATACTGAAGCACCTGACACTATATCTACATATATAAAAATTCTTTCATTATATGTTGTAGTTATCATCACTTCAGGCTAATTTCTCGAAGTCCTGAGTCAGCTCCATTTTTTCCTTCTCTATTTATTAAGTAATGGTGTTATTTTATTATTTAATACAGCTAAATCATCCTCTTCCATATCTACAGGGTATTGTTCTCTTTATGTCAATAACCATGTGGCTGCAGGTCACCTAATAGACGTTGCTTGTACTACAGTATAGTATCCTTGCCATGCATGCTATTGCATTATAGTATCCTTATCATAGGACAGTTGTTTTAAACTTACTTTTCAACAGTTACTTTTCAACTCAGAAGGAAGGAAACATACATAATCATTAAATAAAACCAAAGCCCCCAGCCCCCTTTTTTTTTTGAGCCCACAGTTTAGACTGAAGCATTTTGGAAGTTTCAGTTAAAGAGTACAAATATTAACGGGTTTAAAATACCAAATAAATATTAATAGTTTTTAATTCCTATTTACGGTGAAAACAATTTCTTAACAAAGTATTATGTTGTGTAGGCTACCATTTGTTTCCTGGTAAAAAGCAGCTTTGCACAAAGATTTAACACAATGGTAATGTTATTTAATTCATGTTATTTAATTAACTTTTCATGCACCTTTAAGAATACAGTTTGGGGATTTATTTATTAGGCTTTTAACACTGTTCAGAGACCAAATATACCATTAGCCTTAAGATTATAGATGAGAATATTGAAAATACATTTTTCAAGTCTCAGGTTAGACTTACCTATTGTTGGCTTTTAACAAAGAAGTACAGCTGTCTTCATGTAAAAATGTGATTAAAGAGTTACAGTTTATTTTCAAATTCCTGAAAAACACTTTTGTAAGAGACACCACTGCATTCTGAATCACAAAACCATAATTTTCACCAAAATGAAACACAAAAATGCTCATAACTGGAATTAAATATGAAAACCCATCCAAGAACTCTCATGTGGAGTCATCACTTATTCAGCATTTCCTGTGGGACTAAAAGTTTGAGGATTTCACTCACACGCCACGTCACTAAATGGTGTAACACATACAGATAAGCTGGAACTTTAAAGTAGGAGAGATTATTTACAATGTATGCAATATGCTCGTTTCCTAGTCCACAAGTAGTGGCTGTGCAAAAGAGGATGTTTGCATACTGCAATTACAATTCAGAATCAATAGAAAGACATATTTAATGTGTCATCCTTCCTCCTTCCCCTCCCATGGCAGGGGGGGTGAAATAGATTATCTTTAAGGTCGCTTCCAACCCAAACCTTTGTATGATTCTGTGACCACTTCAGATAAAGAAAACCCCAAGTCTACAAGGACTTGCACGACAAGGACTACACAACATTGCAAGGATACAGCCTAGCACAGATGACCTGAACGGGAAGTGCTGCATGGATAGGCAGAAGCCACACCAAGTGAAACAACTATTATCAGGGAATACTTTCTCCACGTGAAGCCACTCTCTACTGCAAGCTGAAGATAACTTGGAAACAAACTGCAGGAGCAAGGAACAAATACACATGGGACTGACTTCTTCCGTGCCCTGAGAAAGCAATTTGACCATAGGGTGTCTTGTTTACATTTCCCACACCTTTTCTCCCAGGGACATTAACTTTGGTACTTAGTACAAGAAAACAGACATACATGTATGGCATATAGTCTACCACATCACATCAGTTTCTTTCATAATGTCCACTGGAATTTCTGATCTGCAGACATCTAAAATTACTTCCCAAATCAGTTAAAGCTGTAATTCAACCAATAATCTCAGTGTTGAAATTGGAGATGTAACATCTGCTGTTTTATAAAAGCCATGTAGAATTACACTTACATTACTGGTTCTCAGTCCTGATGCATGGTCTGTGTTTGGTTTCTTGATACATCCAGACCTAAACAAAGATTCAGCTTTACTTGTATTTTAGAAAACCTGCCTTTCTCCTTTCAGCTAGGAAAGTCAAATTCTATTTTCTTATTTTTCAAAGTAGTCTTACACAAATAGTCCAATTCTTTTTCAGCTTCATCTTATTTATTTATTTATTTATTTTTAATGGAACTTTCAACTCATTTAAACTATTGAAACCAGTGCTGCTTTAGAAGCAGGGTACCAACACCTGGTTCAAACCCCAAAGTGGTTCAGGATGACCGCAATACCTAGGGGATATTTTGTTCACCACAGCACAATGTGTGTTTTAATAGTTATCTCCTATTCTGTATTAAATGATAAATTGTTCATACTTAGCCAAGAGGTACATGGAAGTACACACAAAGATACACCAATATTCTCTTACTCCCTCATTAAAGTGGACACTTTGAGGACAATTTTTCATAAACCACGACCACTTTCTTCACCCTCTGCTCCCACTGTGGAAGCAGAACTTCCACTTTACCAAGCTACCCAACTTCTTTTGCAGCAATCCTTCACTAAAGCCCTGAATGCTCCAGATCAGCAGAAAGCATGCTGCAGCTGGGCTTCCAGACTACAATGCTGTTGCTCTCATTCCCCTGACCTGTAAATTTGCATGACGTAAATTCTGGAAAAGCAGTATAGATCCAAACTCATCTACTAACGTCTTTTTTTTTTTTTTTTTTTTTAAGTGTGTTGCACAGGATTGCATTCTAGGGGGATTTTCCTTGCTTTGTACACTGGACAGGGGTAAGATAAAATATTTCCTTTCTATATACAGACATAAAAGATAGACAAGAACCTCCTGCACAAACAGCTACGCAACAAGGAGGGAGGTGACTTCCTTTTATTCACCTGCGGTTATGCTGAGAACACCCAGCACTACTTCACCCTTCCCAGGAACCCTGCACCCAGGCTGTCAGGTTACTCTGTACAGACAACGCTGACTGAACAACTGCACCCTCCAGCAAGTCCAGGAGGTGAGCCTGGGCGAGGCAAGGTGAGGCACGGGCTGGTGGCTGTGGCCGTGCAGCGCATTGCCCCCCTGAGCCGCACGTGTTGGAGCGGTGGGGGCATGCAGCTGTGCAGGGGGAAGCTCCCAGCAGCACGGCGACGCGGCACGCTGCTGCTTGGCTCCCTGCTGCTGGTCATTGCCCTGGCACTGCGCAGTGTCACCCGGCCCTGCCGTGATGCCAACCCCCGCTGCCGTGACCACCTCCGCCAGGCTCTGGAGCTGCCCTCTAGACGAAGGATCAACTGCTCGGGGGTTGTCAGCGGGGACCAGCAGGCGATCCAGCAGGCGCTCCTCAGCAACCTGGAGCTTAGAAACAAAAGGGAACCCCTCACACCCGAAGCATACCTGAACATGACAAGGGACTGCAGCAGCTTCAAGGAGACCCGGCGCTTCCTGGAGTTCCCGCTGAGTGAGGAGGAGGCCGCGTTCCCCATTGCCTACTCCATAGTCATCCACAACAAAATCGAGATGTTCGAGCGGCTCCTGCGGTCCATCTACATGCCACAGAACGTCTACTGCATCCACGTAGACAGCAAGTCCCCAGCCGCCTTCCAGGAGGCCGTGAGGGCCATCGCCGCCTGCTTCCCCAACGTCTTTGTGGCCAGCCGCCTGGAGAGGGTGGTCTATGCCTCCTGGTCACGCCTGCAGGCTGACCTCAACTGCATGCAGGACCTGCTGCAGAGCCCCGTGCCGTGGCGCTATGTCCTCAACACCTGCGGCACCGACTTCCCCATCAAAACCAACGCGGAGATGGTCCGCGCCCTCCAGCTGCTGCAGGGGCAGAACAGCATGGAGTCCGAGAAGCCATCGTCCTACAAGCAGCTGCGCTGGAAGTACCACCACGAAGTGGGGGAGGCCATCTCGCAGACAGCCACCGAGAAGCAGCCGTCGCCACTCAGCTCGCCCATGTTCACGGGCAGCGCGTACGTGGCGGTGACGCGGGCCTTCGTGCAGCACATCTTCGAGGACCCCGCGGCGCTGCAGTTCCTCGAGTGGGCCAAGGACACCTACAGCCCTGACGAGCACGTCTGGGCCACCCTCACCCGCGTGCCCGGCGTGCCGGGCGCCCTGCCCCACAACGACAAGTTCGAGCTCTCGGACATGAACGCCCTGCCCCGCCTGGTCAAGTGGCAGTACCTGGAGGGCGACACCAGCAAGGGAGCGCCCTACCCGCCCTGCACCGGCCGCTACCAGCGCGCCGTCTGCATCTACGGGGCCGGGGACCTGCCCTGGATGCTGCGGCAGCACCACCTCTTGGCCAACAAGTTCGACCCCCAGGTGGACGATGCCGCCATCCAGTGCCTCGAGGAGCACCTGCGCCACAGGGCCCTGCGCGCCGCGGGGCTCTGAGGGGAGCCCGGCCACGGCCCGCCCCGGCGGCGCCTCAGGGGCGGCGGGGGAGGAGCCGCGGGAGAGACGCCCTGAGGAGAAACGGCGGAGCCCCGGGGTAAGCGGGGACCGGGGGGACACCGGGCTCGGAGGGGGAATGGGGGGTGCTGGGCTGGGAGGGCGTAGCCCCCCCCCCCCCCCCGCTTTTCCCCCCTCCTCTGCCCGCGGGCGTCTCCTCAGGCAGGGCGCGCATCCCCGGCGGCTGCCCCCCGGCCGCCCTAGAGAAGCGGGGCCGGTGTGTTTCCCGTTCCCCATTCACTGACTGTTGGCAGAAGCGACGCCAGAGCTCCTTTTTGTTTTAGAAAAGCACGGCCAGGTCACAGGCCAGGGTGACCCCGCGTCCCGGCACGAGCACAGGTGAAGCCATGCAATGGATTTTGTAAAGCTCCTAGCACCTGCCGCACCGCTCGGCTCAGCGTCAATTTGCTTTTGTTTCAGGCACTTTAGGGTTGTTTAACTGCTGTCACTAGCTGCTGGCTATAAAAAAAGGTTTGTCAATAAAATCAAACATACTGAAATAGGTGGCTTCCTGGTATTCTGTGTGCTGTAGTCACCTGAGGAGAACTAACTGCTCCCAGGCAGAGCCATTAAACTATTAAACTATTTCATCCACCTGCACCCCGCTTCTCCATCTGTAATACACGCGGAGAGACACTTAGGTAGTTAACTGCGTGCTAACCTACATTTTTTAACATCTTCCTCTCTATCCCTCCTCCCAGAGAAGAGAATATTATAAGGAGTGCTCTCAGTAATGTAATTGCCACATCCAGTAGTGTGTTGGGCCTTTTAGATGAACAAAACATCTGACTTACTCTTTTTTTTCCTAAAGCTTCTTTAAGTTGTAAGGTCTGTGAACTGCATTTCACCTTTACCCACCTCACATTAGAGCCGGCTACTTCCTGTGGATCCAACAGTGCTCCACTACCTAAGTGGTGAGGATTTAACAGAGTTTTGTTTATGCAATCAACAATTTTCCCTAGTAATTTTCTTATCAGTAAGCACTCTTACCTTTTAAATTCAAAGTCTCCCATGGAGAACAACCATTAACCAAAGAACATCTGAAGCAGTTCCACAGCTTGCTACAATAATGACTGAAACTACACAGTTATTTACAACATTGATTTAAATAGGATGAGGAGATTAGATAACTGACCTGAAAAGGTGTGCCACTGCAGTTTGGTTGGACATTTTAAAACAAATTCCCTTGTAAATACTGATTTTTAAAACAACACTGATTTCACAGCAATTGTTAAAGGCAAAACAACAAAAACAACTATCAGCTAGATAAGCTGCCAATTAAACAAATACCTAACCTATCATTGGGAATTTATTTACCCCAAAAGACTGAATGAAGCAATAGGGGGAACTGGTCCCACTAGGAAGCTTTTTTTCCAGGTACTGTAAATAGAAATCAGCTGCAATAGCGATTTAAGCTTTATGCTAATCTGTTAATAGCATGCAAAATTTAAAATGGTTTCAGCAGCCAATTCAGCATTGAATAACAAATATTCACCTCTGCAGTACATTCATTTGGAACAGAACTTCTATGCTAACTCAGGGCACGAACTGAAGTTTCCCAACATGGCTGCTACCAAGCCATAGCTGCCTATTTTGATTTTGACAGTTGGAGCTCTTTCTTTTACTGTAGATTAATATATATTTACCTAACATGGTTAACTAATGCCATTGGCTCACTGGTGGGATTGGGATACATTCACATTTCTAGGCTAAATCAGGCAGAGTGGGGTCAATATGTTTGTAGTTATGTGAAGTCTGTACGTTGTCTTTTTCCCTTGGACAACAGAAAACATTCACAGTTGTGGAGAAAAAAAAAAAAAAAACAAAAACAGCTCACTTGTCTATTCTAAGGAATTTTATCAAAACCAATCCCATCCATCCATCGAACGTCTCTAAGAAAAACTAAATATATTTCTCCAAGAACCTTCTGGGCACCTACAAAGAGTGAAATGGTGCTTGGGGTAGGAGGGACCTCAGTCTGAATCAGTGACAGATTCCCAAGGAATCGATATCTGAAGTATTTTGCAAAGAAAGATTTATACTCACAGGTTACTTACAGATTCGTTACAGTAATTTTTATCCCTGTCAGTCTGTAAATATGTGTAACTTCTTTGGTTTTCTTCTCTCAGAAATGCGAAGTATTGCTTGTACACACTAAATAACAGTAGATGTTTTATCTATTGACAGAGACTGACCTGACCAAAAAAAAAAAAAAAACCACAAAAAAACACTTGAGATGGAGAGAGAGCAACAAGAACCTAGATTTGAAAAATACAAAATAAGCCACTTCAGATCAGTTCCACAGTAAGTCTCTTGGCAGAGTCACAGTAACTTCTCTTTTAATGTTACTTATTACAATCTATGTTCTTCCTGGTTAGAACTGGAAACAGATAATTTAACATTTGTCAACAATTGAAAGAGCTTGCCCATTAAATACGAAGGCCTCAGTGGAACCAGCATATATATGGAAGTTTTACCTCTTCTCAGGGAACTAGTCAAGCCACATACACAAAACATTTTTGTGCCGTAAACATACACCTATTACATCATAAAAGCATTGCCTTACAGAGTAACAAAAATGAATGAAAGGTAATTACATCAAGAGGGTTTTAAAGTATATTTAGCCTTTAAATACAGTCCATCTGCCCAACCCACCAAAAAGTTTGGGTTTTATTTAAATATGTCTAACTTGAAAAGTTGGTTCTCATGAATTTCTAACTCACTCTTTTCTATTTCTATTGTGAGGCTTTGCTCCCAAGCCTTTATTTATGGGTTATGCCATAATATTTTGAGGCAGTTGACTGTCATTGGTGTGTTTGGTCAGTTAGACAGAAACAGGGGTGGAAACAGTGAGTAGCTGGACTCTCATTTGACACCTCATGGGCTGTATGGTGTCTCTGACAAAATATTTATTTTTCCAACATGATTATACTATTTTACCATCACCAACAGCATTCAGAATTTTGGATTACTCACAATTTATCTCAGATAATTTGGTTCCAAAAACAAAGGCATATCTTGTGCAAATTTATTTTCAACTCACCCTTCTCCTTTCAGTAGTGACCTAATTTCTTCTGGAGGAACATGAGGCTACTCCCAAATTGAGAACTTGTACTAAGATAATAAGATTCTGACAGAGGAATGTTCACAGCATTTCCTCTTCCAAAGACATTAGAAATGTCATATTTATGAGTTCAGTCATATGTCAAAGCAGTGATACAGGAAAAAAAAAAAAAGATTTATATGTCTCCTTATCATTACAAATGACAATAAAAAATATCACTCAATGCCCATATAGAACTGTGTATTCTGGAGATCTTGAAGTATCTCAGCAATAAAATAAATAGCATCATGGAAAATCAGTGATGGTGAACAAAGAAATGATGCATCTTGGCAAGATTAGTTGCAGAACTGAAAAAAGAATAAACTTGAAATAGAGTAGGACAAACCCCAGCCCAAAGTAGTAGTGGCATATCTAGAATACAGGTCCGTCTTTAAAAAAATAGGTTAAATGCCGTGTGAACTTGATCAATAAAATCCTTGGCTATGTAAATTAGAAATATAATCATATCAGAAATAGTACTGTTAACTTGGTCTAGTTAGAGTATGAAACATCTACTTACGACGCGTGTGTTGGTAACTAACAACCTGATTTTTAAATAAACCACCAGTTGTTTAAGGAGGAAGTATGTTGCAAATTGCCATTTGCCTTTCAAGATACTCACAGGAGGAAGATGAAACTGTAATTCTGCTGTCTAGTAACAGATGTATTCTTTTTATACTCACCTGGTATTAATCCAAGTTTTTTGTCACTTTCTTTTTACAAGAACAACCTAAATGTGAGCTAAAACTGGCGTAATACATATTTAAACAGAAGGTCCGTAAACAGCTCTTCTTAACTATATTCAGGAGGGTCTACTTCCTTCTTACTTTGCATTTCTTTCATATTTTATATGGTCTTCTCTTAAGCGTTCTGTAACAAAGAAATGGGTCAATGGAAATAAATTCCGAAGAAAAAAAATAGAAGCAAACACGACCTATAGAAGCAAAATATTGGTAAAAT